TKRMYTTTTTCGCAATCTGTTTTACTATTTTCTTTATTTTTTAATAACTAACAGTTTATTTGTCAATTGTCAGCATTTAAAGCTAATTCAAGTTGCAGACTTTTTCTAACCACAAATGAAGTTATATGGGACACTCCATAATTCTTTGCAATTTCCATCAATTAGGCTCAATAAAAGTGCCTTTGCTGCAAAAGCAAAATAATAATTAAATAAAATAATCATAAAAAGAAAGAATAAAAATATTTTTTCTTTATTTGTTTATTTTCATATTGCCATTAAGCTCTCAACAGTTGGCAGGACAGWMARGCTTTATTTTTATTTGCCAAATTGGCAAAGAGAGCCAAGAACACATTACAACAAAATAAATTTAAAAATCAGTACACAAAATTAAAAGAGAAATTGACAATTGTTTACATTTTTCTTTATTTGATTTTTCGTAACCAAAAAGAATGTGGGCAGCAAATAGTAAGACTTTTTGATATAAACTGAAAATCTCCGTTGCGTTAACGTCTGTGAAACAAAGTTTTTCGACTACCAGGATGTCATGAAGCGTATTATTACTGGTCACCTAATTTTYTTTATTTTAATAAGTAAAGCTTTATTTATTCAATTCGAAAAAGATGATTTTAAAGCACACTCAAYAAACAGTGTTTTCGTTCCGTAAACCAGGAACCATTTCTCGAATYACTCTAAGCACTTCGCTGATGTAACATTGTGATCGCTTCTATATTTTCGGCTTCTTGTCAATTAGTTTCAATTCTTGATTTCGGAAAAATATCGAATGCAAAAATAAAATTTGTTCAAGAGTATAGTATGTAGTTGTATATTTTTTTCACTTCGACTACTTACGGCTTATCAATTTGAAACTTTAACCACAAATTCTTGTTGACTAACAGCACACTTTTAATGTGATGTAATTACATAATGCAATTACTCACGCTCACTTTTGTCAATGTAGCATATACCAGGAAAATATTTTTGTGTATTTTTAAAAACAAATTTCGCTTCATTAGGGAGGCCGATATGTAATCCCATCTGATCATAAAACATTCAAAATTATTTCAGTTAAAAACTTCGACCAGTTTTTATGGTATATTCCATAGTTTTCCGATATCAGCAGTCCCCACAAATGAATAGATTCTAAGGGAGAAATGGACGAGTGCAAAATTTCGGGTCATGTGTGAAAAACTGCCCGGAAATTGTAAAAAAAACGAAAAATATTCAATTATTCAGCAATATTTTATTGTTGCCTTCAAATTAATCGCCACCATATGAAATACGTTTATGCCAACRATTTTTCCAGTCCTCGAAACACTGAAAACGGGTTCCACGGAGCGGCAATTTCTGTACGATGGCTGATCGGTGGTGCATTGTGTAAAATCCATGTCCACAGTTTCAGCCGTTTTCGAGGGGTGTCACACAATATGGCGAATATACCGTCCATCTGTCCCTCCGGAACAAATCATGAATTTGCACCAAACCAAGTGTATCGAAAAACCAATGAGCATCAGCTTGATTTTTGTGCGGCTTTGGCGTGGTTTTTTTTTTGATTTGGGCTGGTCTTTTTCCCTCCATTCCGATGATTGTTTACTTGTTTGCATGTCAAACTTATAAACCCCATGTCTAATCGGCTATCTCTACGATTGTGGGATCGTAATTKGCATGATCAAGCATTTCCAAAGAGATTTGTTTAAGATATCCTTTTTTGAAAAAAATTTTGTCGAGTCGAAACACGTGTTTCATACTCAATTTTTCTACCAAACACATTCGCGAGAGATGTCGAGCTCTCTTGCTATCTCTCTAACAMTTGCYTGACGCTTCTCAGYGACCATATCCCACACTTTCTTATTATCGSTTGAAGAGTCGCAGGTCGTATTTTGAATTTTAGACGACGATGTGATCTATATCGCACTGTGAGTTATTTTTTACCGGATCGAAATTTTTTTGTCTTRCCGGTAGAATTTGCAATTCTGATTAACTGTTGTAACCTTATTTATCAGTCCAATCTCTATATTGCCTCATATAAGTTTACTCATATATARAATATTCGATCTATATAAATTTGATTTGACTTATTTAGTTCTTAGAAGTAAGAATAAGACCTAATGAAATCATTCTTTTGGCTTCAAAACTTGTCGATAAAATCGAAAGCTTCAAAACAAAAAGGCACACATATTTTGTGATACAAAATTATGTCCTCTAACCAGATGGTAGATCTCAACTTCACTAACAACTCTGTTAATCATGTTGCTAAAATATTTACCTCAAAAAGCTTTCTTATCACAACTTTGAATTTGTTTACGATTCTCATTTGCATTTATATACTTTTCTCACCACGCTCTCTCTCTCTCTCTCTCCCCACACACTCTTTGCAGATAATGACGTTGAGAGCGTACTCGCCGAATCGCAGGCAATTGTTTTGAGTGCCGCACAACAACGCCAACAACAGTTAATTAATCARCATATGCTTGAGTCGCAAACATCGGTGAGTAGTGGCGCCTCAATACAAACGGTGCTGCATCAGTCAATGCTCGCGAGCACCACCAGCACCAGTAGTACACAGCAACAACAACAACATATACAACGTACCGGCAGCATACCAAGCAACAATACAACGCCGGCACACAGAGCAGCAACGCCAACAAAAACACAACAACAAATTACAGCAAATAATAACAGTAACGGCGGCATTAACAGCGCTCCAGCAACAGCACAGAGTGTGTCATATGCCACTGAAGCGCTGGTAACATTGCGTCCGCAGGCACAAACACCCCAACAGCAACAACAACTGCCCACAGCTGAGTGCATCAACTCGCTGTTGGAACACATCAGCCCAGCGGCGGCAGCAGCAGCGATGAGCGGGGAAGGTGTACTAAATATTGCCGATGTTGCTGATCTGCTACATCCGCAGCATGCGATCATAACGGGTAACGGGCGCAATACAATGTAATCACAATCACACTGAGCTTAATTACTTTGTGCTTAATTTTTTTTTTTAGGTGGGCGCTCACATGGCGGCTGTCCGCTGATCATATTCCCAGATAATAACAATTTCAATTTATTGGAGGAGGCCGATTATCAGAAATTAATTTTATATCTCACATCAGTGCCATCGTAAGCAAGCATAAACACGATTATTTATTACTTTGATTAATGACTGTTAAAAATTTCTAGGCTGCAAGATACCGATTTGGGCTTTCAGCTGATCATCGATCGACGAAAAGACAAATGGACGTCGGTGAAGACAGCGCTGCAGCGAATATCGGTAATTTATTTGAGATTTCCTACTGAAATTGAAATTAGAAGATATCTGAAGCCAATCAAGAGTCAGGATATAAACTTTTAAAGTATTAAAATMTGTAGCAATATGTGATTGTATTCTCTGAACGGATGCTAGAAATACCTAAAAACTTAAGACCGATAAGTGACACAAYATACATACCTTTTTGACAGATATTCCTCTTCTGTGATTAAAGTAATAATAGAAAGCCTACTGTACAAGAGAACATTCCAGACCAGCTGTAGATACATACTTCTAATCGAATCTACATGCTTTGAAATGTCAGATATTTAAGTTGCTTTTGTTGTAGTGGTTGCCTAATACGGTACATCGAAATCATCTAATGTAAGGTTCAACGAATAAGCTGTTTCAACAGGGTCGGACCTTAGTCAGAGGTATTAGATAGTGGGATTCATTAGGCATGCAAAGAGGTTCGAACTCATTGCACGTAAGACATCTATTTTGTATGTCAAGGTCGAATCTGGATAARTAGGAGTTTAACCTGCTACAATAAAGACCTATCGATCTAGACGGGATCGTTGTCCAAGACCATTTCAATTACGTAGGCCCCGATTTCGTGGAAAAAATCTTCCATTGTTTTGAGCAACTATGCTTGGTAGTTGCTGTTAAATTATAAATTTAGAAGAATAATCCCGAGTTAACAGCCATTTTTTGGTTAAATCGAGACCCGACTTTTTCGATGATAGTCCTTCTATCTTTCATAGAGAAGAACTTATGCAATTAATTCACTTTCTTCCACAGATCTACTTCCCCGGCATAATACACGTGGTATACGTGCTGCGGCCATCTGGACTATTCCAAAAAGCCATATCCGAAGTAAGCACAAAATTCTCAAAAGATGAGTATCGCTTTCGGCTCGTAGTATGCTCGGCGCTCACCGATCTGCACGAGTACATAGACAAATCTCAATTGACMGTGGACATGGGCGGGACGTTAATATATTCTCACCACGAGTGGATACAGCAGCGAATAGTAAGTCCGATTATACGTCCTAACTATATTTCAGTAATCATTAAATAATTAATATTAATTATATCTCTCCACAGTCGCTTGAGAAATTTTCTAGTCTCACACATCAAGTGTCAACCGAATTGGATATTTTCATACAAACCATACACGATACGGAATTTCCCAACTCCGTGGAGGCCACACAAAAGCTGATTGATGTGCAAGGCGGTGATTATGAGCGTTTGAAGGTTTCTTTTATATAATAATTGGTGATTTTAAGTGATATTAATATTCTTCTTTTTTGCGTGCAGGAGGAGATTTTGGCYGCTGCCAAACACGGCGAAACTCTGTTGAATAACATCAAAGGCAATGAGGAGATCAAGGAATTCTCGGAACGCACCGGCAATGTCAGCGCCATTGAGCGGTAAATTTTCTACTCACTTTCTTTTTTTACTCACTCAACGCCTGTCTGTTCTCTAACTAACTCTTTCGTGCTTTAATTTGCTTTCAATTGAGTAYTAAGCCAATTTTTCAGCTGCCTTTGATTTGTTAACTCTTTTTCTATACTTAAAACTACCAACCACCGTTCGTTTAACTATTTCCTGTGAATATCCTGCCTTATATATCCTTTGCTAGTGGCATTTYAAATATTGTATATTATTCTTACTTCCGTATTATTAACTTTATTAACTTTTCTCTATGGTACATAATTAATTTGCGTAACATTTATAGCTCTGCACTGGTTTTGTAAAGTGATTTTCAATTTTATATGTAATTGTAAAAGGCCGACGATTATACGATATGTTGTTGTTGGTAATTTGTTAAAAAGAAAATCGTAAATTATTTATTTTGAGTTAAGATTACAAGAATATATATTTTTTATAAGCTTTTGCAGTTATAAAATTATAAAAAAATATATATGTAGGTATAGTATTCTAAATATGATTAAAAATTTGCCCTGGAATACACTATGAGAAATTATGTTTAGTTTCTTTTTTTGGTTTAAAAATAACTTAACTTTTTATTTAAAAAAAATTCAAGCACATGGAATAAAAATTTTGATTATAAAAATGGAAAGCACTGATAAAGTTCAGTTTCGTTAGAAATAGGAAGCTTCAAATTAAACAAATTTAAGTTTTTGGAATATTTAGAAAAAAAAAACGATTTATTGAGTGAGTAACTAACTTGAACCTAAATGAAAAGTATTTTATGCTCTTCACTCGCAGAGCTCTCAAAATTTTTCATAATCGAAGAGACTATAATGGCTTAGAGAGAGTTCTCATTTAATACCTTCGTAATTGTAGTGCACACATTATTTTTGAGTATCTCGTGAATTTATTTCGGTAAAATTTTCTTCCATATCATCACCTAAAATGTAAAATAACATAACATCACTTTTCAAAAGTTTAGAGATGAAGGAAAAACKATTTAATAGAAACTACTCATAATAAAACAAAATTTGAGTATTGGTTATCAAATGGTTATATATTGATTATATATCGGTTATAAAATGGTTATTTATTGGTTATGTCTGAAAGCGGAAGCTGAAAATTTGATAACGATTTAATAGAAACTACTCATAATAAAACAAAATTTGAGTGCTGGTTAGCAAATGGTTATATATTGATTATATATCGGTTATAAAATGGTTATTTATTGGTTATGTCTGAAAGCAGAAACTGAAAATTTTAGGTTTCATACGAGTAATATGATATAGTGAATTTTAAGCAAAAACAAAACTCAATTCCGATTTTTTTTTTTTGGTGATTTCGATTTTTTTGATATATTATGAGAAGCTAAAGAGCTATMCTTTTTAACGCGGTCTGCAAGGCTCATTTTCCCAGAATTTTTGTTGTTGTAATAGAGGAACAGATCACATAACATTTTTGATCAATATTGCCGAGCTG